TCCTCAGTAGTGTACTTTGTCAGACTGCCTGTTCTGCTCTCCGCTCTGGCTCTGGTGAATTCTCTCACCCTCTCGCGCTTCTGACTGTACCCAGTGTTTGTATAAATAAATAAATCTAAAAAAATAAATAAATACCAGGTTTCAGAAAAATAGAAAACATAATCCTATACACACAATTGCATCATGCCACCCCACAGTAAAACGATCTGTAAGCTCCTTATTATTTACAGTAGGAAATATCAACTACTGTGTATGATAAATGAGGTCATTCACAATCTGAGAATAATTATAACATCCCCTCAAATCATATTCCAACACCGTATCTTTCAACACCACAAAACTAGCAAATCCTTTTCAAAAGCACAATATATTTTCACACTTCTTTTCCTTGCTGTTCACAGCCTCGGATGTTTTCCTTTCTTTAGTGTGAAAAACACCACTAAAGAATCTAGGTTAAAAGTTCTATCTTCATGAAGTGTTTCCTTATTTCTTCAGGAATAGTCATTCATGCCACTGGTGATTCTTACAGAAGTCTCTTTTCCGTGGCACTCACATACCATTTTTCTACAAGTCTGAGCACTTTCTAGGACACATTTATCCTGAGATATTTAATAATATGTTAGTTCATAGGAAATGCATTTCATGATAAAAAGAAGGGAAGAGGGAAGGTGTGAAGTAGGAAGGCATGAAGGAGGGAGGAGAGTGAAAAAGAAAAAAGAAAAAAGCCCCATAAATACCCACTGGTCACAGATGTCACCTAGATATCTGACTACCTCATTCACACATATTTAATCTTTCAATCTCTTCACTCCAGAAGGTCACACATATTATTCTTCTGGCCTCTGAGGTAAAGAAACTAACCCTGTGCACTTTCCAGATTCTGCACACAAAGGAAACACAGGCAGATGGCGAGCACAGGAAATCCTGTCTCTGTTCCACATCAGGATTAATGGACCAGCAGACAGCTGGGAACTACGCGCATTGTGCACACAGGAGGGATGTGCTGGCCAGAGGTTTTCAATCTTCATAGCATTTCCCTGAGCATTTCACCACTGTGGACATCTGGTAAAATAATGACATTTTTGAGACAAGAACAGTCTTTTGTCTGTGCGGCCATCATCTCTCTCACACACACACGTGCATGCATGCATGCACATTTGCTACATTCTCCCACCACGTAAGCTCTACATGTTCTCTCAAGAAAGGGTGGATGCTTAGAGCGCTGTGTTCTGCCATGTGGTGTACAGCACCTGGATTGTCACAATTCCTATTAATTTCCTCTCTGCTCGGATCTCTAAATTATCCCTTATCCTAAACCAAGAGTTAAAGGGCTTCTTTTATCCTCCAGCAGACCCTCACTTCTATTCATTACACTCACAGCTCTATATCTCTCAGACTGAAAACTGGGTACCATATATTTTTCCGGTTGAATTTCCTGGCTGTGTTCTATACATAACTTGGCTTGCCTACACGTACTGCACCAGCTCCTCTTTCCTGCAATAACCATGCGATATCTGATGCTGACTTCTACCACAGTAGTTTCAGGTGCGGGGGAAAGAAAGAGCAAATAAATGAGACTCCACACCAGCTTTCAGGGAGAACACTGACTTTACAATACTCCTTTGAGACAATGATATTTTATCCTTGCAGAAAATAAATGACCTCCTTGAGGCCACATTTAATAAATGGAAAGGCCATGATGGGAACCCAGGTCTGTCTGTGTCAACAAACCTGTGTTTTGCAACTCATTTTCCTGCACCCTAGAGACACGTGTAAGAAGACAGATCTGCTGTGCTTTACCCAATAGCTATTGGATAAACTATTCTGAGAGATAGGAAGACACGTTCATATTTATCACAGAGGTATTAGGAAGTAATGCAATTTTACTTGCATTTTGTGTGGGATTTTGAAATATATCTAATAGATTAATTAGCAAAAAGCCACTGAAGAATATAAGTGATTCTTGACTTAAAGGCACAGCTTTTTTCTTTGTTTTCTGGAAGTGTTGTTGAAGATGGTCAGTTTTATCATGAAAGAAGGAAATCACCAGACATGCAAAGGTGGATTTTTATAGTGCTTTAGAGACGAAAAGAAAAAAAGAGGGTAAGAGATGGTTTCCTCCAGGGAGGTTGGTAAAGGAGATACAGGCATTTGATCTTCCTGAGTTTCACAAAATGAAGAACTTCTGCAGAGAAACTGAAAAGTTCATCCTCATGGGACCCAAAATAGGAAGCCCTTTCAGGAACATTAATGACTCAAAAATTTAGGATTAAAATGCAGCATAAATTTTGCTTTAAAAGGGCCCTTTTCTCACACCATCTTTTAACTCTCTCCTATCATATGCATTCCCCGTTCCTCATAGTTTCTCTGGGTCTCTCCTCCTCAGTGATTTCAGAGAGAGCCTTCTCCCCAGGAGTCTGAACAATCTCTTTGAACTACTTTCCTCTTTCATATTTACCCTACATAATTCATTTAGACTTGTCTTGCTAAATCTTTTTAGAGACATCAAATGATGCTCCTGGCTCTTATAACTATTTCTACTTCAACCAGTCATTTTTGTTTTCTAGATATAGACACAGCACTGCACTCAAACTGAATGGCATGCTTATAGCTATAAATTTACAAACGTGGAATAGAAAAAAAAAAGTAAAAAATAGTGGAATAAATGTTAATACTAGAAATTTTATAGTTTATCTAAATTACGTGCTTTTATTCAGAAGCTTAATTATGTCCAAAACAGTCTTTGTGAAGTCCCCCTCACCAGGTTTTCCACAACTTCTTGCTAAATTAAACTTATTTCAGGTATACTGAGCATCTGCCACCAATGTTGTTTCCCTGTAAGGAGCTAATTCCATGGGATTTGTCTCATCTATATTCTTTCAATTTCTTTCTCTCCTCTTAATATTTAAACCTGCAAAGTGCAGACATTTATCCCATCTAAGCTAGATTTAAAACTTATCTTTATCACAACACCCATTTCCACAATTTCAGTCATCACTTGACCATTATATTTTCTATTTCTGCAACTTCTCTATTGCCTCTAAAATTTCTTCTGTTTTTAATTGATGCCACAAGACTCTTAAGGCCATTCTCTCATAGATCAAACACAATCTAACATTAAATTTGATACCCTGCTAATATCAGAAATAATTTTGAGCTAAAATCATTCATGGAAGAGAAAAATCTAAATTCTCCATTACAAGTATTAACTGAAACTGCAAAAACAATAAGCTATGAAAAATGCCATCTGTCATAATTATAAACATTTATATCACTAATTTCACTAATAATTTCACCAATAATTGAGCTAAACAATACTTAGTATCTGGAATCATTTTAAACTATTTAAAATAAATGAATTAGACTTCTAGCTTCGGCTGATATGATACAAAGTCCAGTGAGCATGGCTTGTACCTTTCCAAGACAGAAAAAGCTAGAGAGAGGATAATGAACTTTTCAAAAATCTGTGTCATTTTAATCAGCATCACAGGGAAAATAATGAGCCAAGATAACACTGCCATGGCCACATGAATTCCATGCTGTTTGCATAAGAAATCAAGGTCTGGGTGGGTCATTCAGAGTCCCCCAAGAAGCCGTGGCTGCCAGAGCCTCCACATCACTTCTTTTTTTTAATTAATATTTTATTTTATATAATTCTTACATCATTTTTCATTTTTGCACAATGTATGCATTTTCATTTTGGTTATATTCCCCATACAATTGCACCCCCCCTTATTTTGACGCAAATCCTTCCTGTCTCCGCCCCCCCCCCTTAGTGTGTCTCTGGTTTATAGTTGCTTGTTGATTTTGATTTTTACTTTGTATTAATTAGTCTTTTTCCTGGTCCCTTATTTAGGTTTTCTAAATTCCTGCTATGAGTGAGACCATCCGGTATTTTTCTTTTTCTTTCTGGCTTATTTCGCTGAGCATGATCCCTTCCAGCGCCATCCATGTTGCTGCAAATTGCATGAGTTTATCTTTTTTGAATGCTGAGTAATATTCCATGGTATATATGTACCACATCTTCTTGATCCAGTCATCTATTTTGGGGCATTTGGGGTGTTTCCATAGCTTAGCTATTGTAAACAGTGCTGCTATAAACATAGGGGTGCAGGTGCCCTTTGGAATTAAAGTTTCTGTGTCCTTTGGGTAAATACCTTCTAAGAGCATCCATGAACCACAGAAATGCTCTCCACCAGGGGGTGCAGGCCACTCTACCTGGCCTGAGCCCCATCTACCAGGCCATCACCAGAAACATCCGCAAGACCCTCCTGAGCCATCAAGGCAGGCACCACTCACCGCGGAGAAGGCACCACCGGCTGCCCACCCCTAATCCTCTGTTCCACCAGGCCCTGGCACCTGCAGGGCCACCTACCTGGCAGAGAGAACCTCAGGGGCTGGGAGGTGCCAACAGGCCCTCTGGCCCTATCGGGAACCAGGACCACATCACCCACCTGTGCCATCCTCACCTTTAAGGAGATCTCGGTGATCTGAGGCCCAGACTGGCGACTTCGATGGAGTCACCTGAGACGGGATGCATAAGCCCCTCCGCAAATGCTGCCTCTGGGGGTCCTTCACAGACGACATTCGTAACTAGCAGGTCCAGGTGGGAAAAAGTATCTCCGAAGGCAGGTGAACATCGAGCTCCTGGACCAAGTAGGAGAACACCCGAGAGAGGGTGAGGCCACCTAAAGGTGCTGGCCCATCCCCCGGTGGCCCGGGGTTCCACCACTGCCACCTTCAGGGTCCTCTGTGTGGAGAGACAGAGGTGGGAAGGGTGCCCGGCCACCTGTGCTGCCGCCCCTCGTCCTCCAGCAGGCTGAGCGCGAGCAGCTGGTGACACCAAGCGATGCCACAAAGCCCAGCGAGGTATTTGAGCTGCTTCCTCAGCACTGAGGGCCCACGGGGCCTGAGGCGGGCTGGGCGGAGACGCCACGAAGTTCCCGGATGCCCCCAGGCAGGTGCCGGAGCCCCGCCCCTGGGAGCGCAGCAACCTGAGCTCCAGGCGCAGGCGGATCTTCAGGCACCGGAGGCCAGAACATGCTTCTTGCGAGCAGGAGGAGCCCCCTCAGCCACACCAGCTTGGAAGACAGTGGGCTTAAGTCAAGGGCACCTGCAGCCCACCTGCAGGTAGGTGAACCCCCAAGCTGTGAGCCTAGGGCTCCCCCGGCCCAGTTTGTTCCTGACATCTCTGTCCTTTTCACCTTCCCGCCACCAACACCCCACGTGCGGATCTGGAGGAGTCCCAGCACCCCAAGACTCAGGCTCACTTTCCCGACCCCAAGCCCAGGCCCACAGCCTGCTACTACCCCAGCTTGAGTACGTTCCTCAGCCACGGGAAACTCAAGACTCACCGACTGGCCCTGGCAGCCATCAGGCCCTGGCTGAGCCAGCTTTTGTCCAGGGCACTGGACCCCAAAGGAAGGAAGGGTGGGCCTTCCATCTGTTCCCTGGCTGCCAGGTCTGGGACAGGTATTAGGGCCAAGGGAGGGCGAGAGGGTAAGTATAAGGAACTTGGGTATTCGGCTCCTTTTTTGCCTCCTCCAGCAGCCAGGCTCTAGGGCTATTGCCTGCCGCCTTGTTTTCCTCCCAGGTTTCATTGCCCACAGGTGATATGTGTTTGCAAAAGGCACTCGAGAGGTGAGCATGGCCATGCCTACTTGTAAATAGGGGCACCTGGGCCTAGAAGCTGGCGATAAAATGCAACGAAATAAGCCAGAAAGAAAAAGAAAAATACCGGATGGTCTCACTCATAGCAGGAATCTAGAAAACTTAATTAAGGGACCAGGAAAATGAGTAACTATAAGAAAGTGAAAATCAAAATCAACAAAAAACTATGAACCAGAGACACTCTATGGGGGGTAGAGGGCGGGAGGGGAGGGATTGGGGTCAAAATAAGGGGGCTGCAATTGTATGGGGAATATAAAATGAAATTTATTATAAAATAAATAAATAAAATGCAAGATGGGGGGAGGCGAGGGGGCTCAGTTGCTGCCTTTCTGCATCTGAGTCCAGTTCCCTGATACAGCATCAAAGGCATGTTAGAGATACCAAAGGCTCGAAAATTCTTTTTCTCTGCTGGAATCAACAATGAACCTGCCGGGTCTAGGATGGTTGCACAACTGTAGTTCTAAGCGGAGCACTGATCAGCCCACTCTGGCTATGGACAATTTTCTTGGAAGTGAAGGTGGAGGGTAAATGAAGTTGGTCAGGTTTTACTACATTGGCCTCTAAATCCATCACTCTACCTTGTTAAGGTAGATGTGTGTGGTAGTGACACACTTGTGCCTGACTGTGGACATCTGAGCTTATATGTGTGTGCACATGCATGTGCAAGTGTGCACACCTGTTGTAGGGTCAGGAATGACCACAGAGCAGGTTTTCTTTGATCCCATGCAGACCGGGTAAAGGAGTCAGAGTCCTTAGTGGCTTTTTGCAGGTCTTTTATTGGGATTTAGCGGATACATGGCAGGCAGGAGTGCTGGGGGGCCGGGAGGCCAGCAGGCCTCCCAGCCCCCAACAGGTCTTCACGCTGGGCTCTCAGGCCTTCTGTCGGAGCCTTCTCTCGGCTTCTTTTAGCCTCTCCTCGGCTTCTCTTTTGGCTTCTACTGGCATCCCCGTGACGCTGCCCTTAAAAAGCACAGTCTTAGCCCAGGTGAATCCCATCTACCTATGCCCACACCCTACTGCAGGTGCCCGCCATCAGGCATGCACTCAGGACCGCAAGGATCTGTCATCTATCCTGATGGTGGGAGGGCAGAAAAGCCTGACATTTTTCCTTACCGTACACCTGTGCCTAGAGGTCAGGCCTATAAGAGAGGTGTTATTCAGAGACAGCTATGGCAGAACAGCTACAAGAGGAAGAGACCAGAAAAGAATGCCAGAGAAAGCCCAGAGAAAAGAGCATTTCAAGATTCCCAGGGGCTCAACTTGCTATCTCCCTGCTGGCTTGTTTCCCATGCTTAAACCTGTGAAAATGATGCCAAGGGCTCCAGAATTCCCCTTCAAATCGCTAGACCTGATGGTGAACCCTGCTTTGGATGGTTGCAAAACAGGGGGAAAGTGGGTGAGCATGTTCACGTGGAGGACTGTGGGCTGATACCCATGGCCACCCAGCCTTAGCACCACTTGGCATTCCTGGTCACCAAATGGCAGAGACCTCTGTGCTGCCCAGTGGTCCCCCTTATCTTGGCTGGCTTGGAAGTCCTTCTGCCCCACCAGCTCCCTCCTACCCCAACTCTGTACCCCCACCCCACTCCACATATATATGGCCTCTTGCCAAGGGAAATGCAGAGGCAGCAGCTGGGATGCCCCACCCCAAACTCCTGTCATAAATTCCACATACTGGGGAGGAAAACAATTTGTTTTCTTGAAAGAAATATTTAGTGTAGTCTCAAACAAATCCAGAACAGGTGTTCATCTTTGGAGCTGTTAGTGCAAAGACACTATGTTACATGTGAAAGAAATAACTTTTCCTGTGGAACTCTTTCCCTGACATTTAAACATTGGACTGATCAGGCAGAAGATGACTTATTTGCAAGATGTCACTTTAAGAAGAGGAACTGCAAGAAGAAAGATAACCTAAATATTTATTTACCTGGAGTGTATGCCCCCAGCTAGAAATTCATCCAGAATATTCATATAAAACATTTACAGCAAATTGTCAAGGGTGAATTTGGACTGGCATAAAACCATAAAGCCCTTGGTATGTGCTGATACAGGCGAGTTGGCACTGTTGGTTTTTTCTCCAGGAACCTACCACAGAGAAAATGGAGACAGTCCTGAAAAAACTTGTCATTGGTACTGTCTGGAAGAGGAAAATTGAAGTCCCTGCAAATATTTCTGCACAGAATATTTTCCTTTATTCTTTATGGAACACAAACCTTAACCTGCAGGGAGTAAGAAAAATGAAACTAAAAACCTATTGAGTTCTCACAGACACTGTAGCAGGGAGAGACAAACAGGACAAAGGAAAAAAAAAGTCAGAAAATAAGTGGACAGATTTTAATAAGTATTTTGCTGATTATGTATCAATACAATAGCACCTCCTAATATAGGTGTATCATTTAATAAATTTCAGGTTGATGTGACATTCTACACGTCATATATGAGGGAAATAGTTCTCTTTGTTCAAGTGAACAGATGCAGGAACTTAAAAATAACTAAACGCTGTGCAAATGCCCTGACCAGCTTCAATATATTTACTTAACAGGAAAATGGACTCCTGGGGTAATGGGAAGGCTATATCAACTTCTAGAAATAGTAGCATAAAGAACAATGAATTTATGACTCAAAACTAAATTCATTGTTCTTTTCTCTTTCCCTTTCCTGAGGAGTTCAGACAGTAGCATTAGGTGGGGCGAAACAAAGGAGGTAGCCACTGTGGGGTGGAGTGGAGGTGGGCACAGTGGCTCAGAGTACAATGTCAGAGCGCAGCTGGACTAAGGCAGTTTTTCATGGTGCAGAGGAAGCCAGTCATAGGGAATTACAATGAAAGCAAGGGAGAGAAGGGCCACACTCAGAGGAGCAGCAGGGGAATATGAATCTCCAGTATGGATGATGACATATAGGGCAGCATTTAGCATCAGACACAAAAATAGGTAAGCAGAGCATCCATGAAGTAGGGTGGCCCAATAAGGGGATGCTCGAAATTAAGCAAGATGAGAGGTATATATATTAGAGACACAACACAACTGAGATGAGGGGAGTAGCCATGAATGTGAGCTGCCAGGTGTGATCATGAGAGAGTCATGACTGCATCTGGGCCCCATATAAGGAGATGGAACCCAATCATTATCTGGAGGGCTTCCTCAGGGGGGCACTCTTTCATAAGATGTCTCACCCCCAAAAGGAGAGGAACGCATCCTGACTGGGAGACCCACAACCCAGGAAACTACATTTGGTAGGAGAAATTCAAGGAAAGAGAAAACTAGAATGAACCCTGTAGTTTGGATAAAAATACAACATTTCAGTTTGAATTCATGGCTTTTAGTATACAGAGATAGCTGAAGAAATGAATGTAGGTATCAAATTGGATGCTTATAACCTTATTAGTGCGTGCACATACATGCAGCATCCTTCTTGTGTCCACTGAGAAGACTTTGGACATGGATAGAAATTAGCAGATTTGTTGATCATACCTTGGTTTCTACTTAGCACTTTTCATCCAAAATATATAGTGAGCAACTTGGAGAAATCGCTGATATGTGAACTGGAGCAAAGAAAATACAAAAGAACATGGACTATCTTCTACCATAAAGAAGGACAATATTTAATGAATAAAGGGATGCAAAGTGACAGCCCAAATGGAATTTCCCTGGCCAAATCTGGGGCAATATGAGCTTCAAAATAAATATTGATAGTTGTAAAAATAACTCAATAATTAAAAATGGAAGTCACAACCACAGATATAGTTGAATAAATTGAAATTTTAATGGCATTTGGGGAATTACATAATCATGATGCATCTCCCAGAAGTGTTTCCTAATTGTGGTGAGGAAGCATGATTTTATGGTGAATCAGAGAAACAATTATGTCCCTTAGTGACCTGAAAAGGTGAACTTCATTAGTAACAGGGTAAATTGAATTATTGTGTCAGCCCATGATGGAGAGAGGATACAGTAATATTTGAAATTATATTCTTCCTAGATGCATTACTTGAATCCAGTCACGATGAAACATCAGGCAAATGTGAATTGCAGGACATCTTACAAAATACCTAGCCAGTAATTCTCAAAATCATGAAAACAAAGAAAAGACAGAGGAACTCATCAAGACTGATTGAAAATATAGAGATAAGATAATAAAGCACATGGCAGTTCTCAGATGGAACAGTTTGCTGTGAAAGGCATTACTAAGACTTGAATTCATCCTAGGATCACATGGTATTTATTTTAATCAGCTGATTTTGACTGTATTTTGGTTATATGGAAAATCAGCCCGTTTTATAAGAAATACAGAAGAGGAAAGGTAAGGTATCAGGTAGGCAAATTGCTCTCAAGAGGTTCAAAAGAGAAGTTATATTTACTGTACTTTCAGTTTTTCTGTAAGCTTAAAAAAATTGAAAGACGATGGGCAGCAAAGAAATTTCCTATTATATAAAACTGATTTTTGCAGTTGAGTTTGTGGAAATTCCAATGGAAACATAAATATAAAAGTTCATTTATACGTGTTTTTGTAATCTCAATGTTGATAAGGTTGGGCTAACTACCATAATATAATCAAGAACTTGATAAGTATATGTTGCTGTTTTTTGCTCTGATTTTCCTAAACTGACTTCATATTTAAGCAGTTTATTTTTTTTATTTAAAGTTTGAAATTTGTAACAGAGATTTAAAAAAATAGCATGTGCATTCCTTTTCTCATTCAATTGCCCAGAGTTAACCTCTTCGTAAGGATTACCTATGTAACATATATATTTTTCTCAAATGTGTAATGTTTACTTGCCAGGTACCTATATACATGTTTCCCCCATTATTTCAACCAAATATGTAATGTTTTATAAACATATGTGACCAGTATAAATGAAATCATGATTTTTTTTAAATCCTGTGTAACAGATATGTTGCATTCAATACCATAGTATGTGTATTTATAGATATAGGTACATACACTATAAACATTAGTGGAAATATGCTATAGAATGGAATGTATGATGTTCCCATATGAAAATTACTCTTTCTTTCAATGAGTCAACAGAAAACATACCTGCTGAGTTCAGTCTGGGTCAGGCACTATTCTAGACAATGAGATTTTAGCAGTTAACAAAACAAACAAAAATCTTATACTAACAGCAGTTATGTTCTAATGAAGATACTATAAAACAGAGGTCTAAAAATTTAGTAACAAATTATAAAGGTTATAAATATAGTTTTCATAAAAGGAAAATATTTGTCCAGGATTCTGAATCTGGGAGTATGTAGACATTGAAATCACTGTTGGAGGGTGCTCAGGTTAAGACCTTTCAGTTTGATTCAAACTATTTCATTGGACACGTGTGATAGCATTCCTTATTTTACAACCTAATATCACTTAGAAGTCACTGGCTAATTTATTTTTAGCTTAATTTTATACATCTAGTCAGATCTACAATGTGTTGATTTTTCTTTTCTAGGAAGGAAATCAGAAGTCGCATTTCTAAGAGCTCGTAGGGTGTGATTCATTTTCCTCCATATATCAGGTTTGGAAATACATTAATTACTGTCTAATTTTAAATAGTAATATATGTTAATATGAAATGTAATTTTCAATTCAAATTTATCCTGATAGCTGATTTTGTAATTTTAATACTTCTGTTATGGTGTATTTTCATTTTAGAATTCCAGCGATTCTCTAAAATTGATATATTTTAAAGATGGTATGAAGTCAATAAATGAAATGCCACAGAATTTTACTATTTTCCATTCCTTGGGACTGGAATAACTTTTAGAATTAACACATTTCCAAAGTTACAATGATTATTAACACTTATGGTACAATTGCAATATTTTTTTGTAGATTCCATCTAATAAAATTTTATCACACAAATAATTTTCTTACCCATAAGTAGAATACAAAATACTTGATTGTTTTTCATTTCAAAAATGACTTGGTTTGTAAGTTATTTTCAAATTTTCAAGGGAACTGAGGAAATTTGAAACACTATTTTTGACAAGAATAATAATCATTCTAAATGAAGTTAGGGATTTGAAATTTGGAGTTTACATAATTATATGGAGAGCCACATACTAAATAAGTAGGATATGTAAAATCAAGTAATTTTGACATTATGTGTATACATTTAAATGTTATGATTTTTTGTTATGAGTTTTTATGATTTCAAAAACAATCACTGGAATTGGAATATACTAATCTATGAAGACAATCTATCAAAGGATAATAAGGGTTCAGGTAATTTTTCTTTTCCTCTGCAGATATTTTGTATTTTTAAAATATTTTAATGTCACTAAACCAATTATAAATGTTTCTTGACTACTTGTCCAGACAGAACTTTTCTATGCATTTTAGAGAAATTCATCATTTAAATCAGGTAACTACTTAAAATATTAAATTACTTTGTACTTCCTGACAAATATTTTGTTTAAAACAACACTATGATGTATCATTACCCTATAAGCAGAAATTGGAGAGTGGGGATTTTTATCCTTAAATTCTTTCTCTTGCATTCACCCAAATATCGAATATTGAGTACTATCTCTTTTCCTCATTAGTAGTCTCATAAATGGAAAAATTTAATGCTAATTTTTTGCAATAAAATAGAAATAACATATTTTAGCTTGATAATGACACAGTTAAGAATCATCCAAAAATGGAGTCAATTTCTGATGTGGTAACAATAAAAATACTAGAAATTCATAGAAATTTTAGCCAAACATTTCAAATAGCATCCTATCAAAATGAAATGCAGGGCCTCCCTGGTGGTACAGCAGGTTGAGCACAGCACTGTGAAACCATCCACAGCCTCAGCAGCGCCGGTTCAATTCCCGGCTGACCAGGGAGAATCCCACATGGCGACGCAGACCTCTCCTGTCTCACCCACTGCTCCCCTCAGCAGTGCTTTTGGTCCATCTGCCTGTTCTGCTCCCCGCTCTGTCTCTGGTGAATCCTGTCACTCTCCTGCGATTCTGGTCTGTACCCCAGCTCTTGTATAAATAAAAATAAATCTTTAAAAAAAATAAAAATAAAGAAATAATAAATACATGTTAAAAATGTAATGCAAAGGCAGAACATTTTATACTATTGACTAGAATCATTAAGAAAAGAGCAAATAGTCAATAGTATCTGATAAAATGAATAGTTCTGAGATTTTACTTGCTCAATACATGTTAGTTAGATTCAAAAAGTGTTTTTGTGATTTTTTTTCTGTCTGCAATTATATAAGTCCGTGACTCATACACACCTACACACATAAACAGGACAGATCATTGTAAATAGTAAGAGATCCCTAATAATTTATGAATAAGGCAGTAAAAGTTAATATTTCACTGAAGGTACAGATAGAAATCTACAATTAAAAGCAATTACTCACACTGTGTGAAGATGAAACAAGGATGCTTAGAGATTGATAAAGTCACTCATTGGAATTTGAACATCTGTGGAGCAAACAGAACCAAGCAGTAGTTTAAATATCATCAATAGTATCAATGGTATCAGTAGTAACTAGGCAGTGAGTTAATGGAGTGCATTTATAGGAAACAAATGCAAACCTATACATGTGTGTACACAAAGAAACTAGCTTAAATTCAACAGAGTAAGCACTGACAGATGATGCTTCAAAAAAACTACGAAATATGCTCTAATGGACATTTGTCATTTAATCTTCAAATAGGTGGGAATTTCCAGGGTGTGTGTGTGTGTGTGTGTGTGTGTGTGTGTATAAATGCATAGATGCAGCATCAATAATAGATAAATATGATATAGATATATAATTAATATACAGTTTAATTTCCTTGAGTACAGAAGAAAAATACACAAGTAATTATGATTTCCTTGTGGTGGTCTACACTGGCTGACATGTAGCTGAGGTCAATTAGTTCCCAAATACCTTAAATTAATGCTCTGACTTGGGGATTACAATTCCAATTTGTTCTTTATATCCATTCAGTTATATTGTTCAGGACCACTGACTAGAAACAGTTTTCTATTTGCCATTGCAGAGCTGACTCTGTTGACTACACTAACATTTAGGGAGTCTCAGAGAGACTATCTTACCACTTTTCCAAAGCTGACCTCCAAAGTGAGCTGGACTGAGCCATTGTATGAGGGGCTATAATCAATATAGCACCAGATCTTTGTTGCATTCAATACATACCACTTTACTGGGATCTTTTTTTTTAAAGATCTGTTTATTTATGCATACAAGAGCTAGGGAACAGGCCAGAGATGCGGGGGGTTGAGAGGATTCACCAGAGACAGAGTGGGGAACAGAACAGGCAGACTGACTGAAATACACTGCTGAGGGGAGCAGCGGGCGAGACAAGAGAGGTCTGCCACGCCATGTGGATTTCTCCCTCACAGGCTGGGTATCGAACTTGTACTCTAGAGGGTGTGGCTTGCTTCATAGTGCAGTGCTTATCCCCTTGTGTCACCAGGGAGGCCCCTTTACTGGGATCTTTTAACTGTTAGTGTTTCCTATTCTCATCCTTACCGCTTGCAGTTTTCAACCTGGTATCTAATTCTCAAGTCCCACTAATACTCTGAAAGAGGTTTAAAGTATACCTAATGGAAATAATCCTAGTGTTACTACAATTAAAATTATTTTTTTAATTTAAAGCAAAAAAAATACAAATGCTTTAAAAAGTACAAAATACCAATTAAATTCCTAGTATAGAATTATTCTACCTTTATCAAAAGAGATGTTGACTTAAAAACAGAAGGGCATAAAATACAACCTATTTCCAGGAGCGAGCTTATGTTTGACCTGTTCCATTCACACTTGCATTTGGGGCGAGCAGCGTGCCTTTACCCATATTAGCAGTCCCAGACACTGCATACCATCAGTCTTTGTTTCATTGGCATTGCACAGGTAACTAATTCATTATGTCTTCATGATTGGTAGCCTCAAACTAATTTCTAGTGAAAGGATACTTATAACAAAAAAAGTGGTTTTGATTTTTTTTTAGATAAATGCAACTAGAGGTGGTTCTAAGATGGCTCATTTTATAGAATTATATAGCATATTAAATAATCATAAAATGTATTTTCATTTTATATTTTACTGGAAGTAACCTTATATCCACTTTAGTAAAATCCCCACCAACATAAAAATTTATAACATATCTGTAGGTTGTTTTACTAGTAGAGTATTCTCAGTTATTTAAAGATATATTATTCAATTTTACAGATTCATTGATGTTATTAGCTAGATTTTAGTGATGTGATTACTGTAAGAAGTATAAATGAATCTTTCTGTTTCTGTTTGTGTCAAGTTTTATTGAGATATAATTGATACTGAAGTATATCATGTCTGATGTATATCTCACATTGTGTATTTCATATAGTCGAGTATGGAATTTTGTTGAATTTTGGAAAATATTTTTTGAATTTTGATCTTCATGTTGTTATGAAGTTAGAGGATGATCAATTTGCCCCCCTAGAGATTGCTTTGTGTTCTATGGCAGATAAAGGTGGTCTAGCCTAAGACTGTTATTGCCTCTTTGAAAGATTATGCTTTTTAGGAGGACTCAGCCCAATCCCTGTATGATTCAGGCCTCTTCAGTTCTGCTGTTGAGAGCTTGACTCTAACCCCTTGGAAATCAATGGGCCTACTGATTTCCAGTGTTTTTTTTTTTGGTATTTTATTTCTTGTCATCTCATGAGGCAGTCATCAGAATCCAAGATCTCAGACAGGCCTTTACAGGTGTCCAGAGCTCCCAGCTCCTCAGACCTCAGGTTGGAAATTGTGACAATTCTATACTCCCCAAATTAATTATACACTGCTCAGGCTATCATGATTCCCCATCCTGAAACTATAACTTGGAAACTAATAATGGAAAGTAATCTGGTGAAGCAGTAGGACTCACTTCATTGCTTCATTTTTGTCAAGGATTACAGCCCTGACACTCCCTGCAAATCATCCACTCCCTGAAAATCCTTACTTAAATTTCTTTGTTTTGTTGCCAGTTGTATGTAGCCAAATGGCAGTTTTATTTATTTTTTAAATATGTATTTGTTTATATATAAAAGAACTGGATACAGGCCTGAGTTGTAGGGGGTGATAGTGGGTAGCAGAACAGGAGGATTGACTGAAATACACTACTGAGGGGAGCAGCAGGCTAGTCAGGAGAGGTCTGCTGCACCATGTGGGTAGCTCCCTGGCTGGCTGGGGATCGAACTTGTGCTGCAGTGGGTGCAAGGAGCTTCATAGGTTGTGTCTTAACCCCTTGTGCCACCAGGGAGGCCTCAAATGGCAGTTTTAGAGCAGTAAGAGGTAGAAGTTATTTTTATCTTCTCTCCTCCTTTCTCTGTTCTCTCTCTCTCTCTTCCCTTTTTCTTCTTTTTTCCTTTCTCTCCATTATCATTAAGGAAATTTGAAATGAGAAAAAATATTTTAATTGATTATGACATTGAAATAGAAATATGTAATAGCATAATAGGTGTAGTGATACCCTCTGAGAAATAGGAAAGAATGGGACATTAACAATAATAACTGCAATTTATTTAGGATTGACTATGGAGGAG